CTGTCTCATTTCCATTGACCTATTTTCAGTTTTACTTATTCTTTTACTGGCTGTATTGAGTCTACTAATGAGCCCATTTAAGACATTTTTATTTATTTATGTATTTATGTATTTATTTTACTCATTTGTTTTTGAGAGAGAGAGAGAGAGAGAGAGAGAGAGAGAGAGAGAGAGAGACATCAATGTGAGAGAGAAATATCAACTGGTTGCCTGCTGTATGCACCTAGACCAGGGATCAAACCCACAACCTAGGTATGTACCCTGAGCAGGAATCGAACCCACAACGTTTTGGTGCAGGGCATGGCCCTTCACTTACTTAGCCACCTGACCAGTGAAAAACATTCTTTATTTCTATTAAAGTATTTTTTTATTTCTAGCATTTAGTTTTTATTTTTTTCGGAAAGATTCCATCCATCTGCTTATATCTGTCTTTTTTTAATATTGTCTACTTTTTCCATTAGAACCTTCAACATATTAACCATAGCTTTTTCAGGTCTCCATCTAATAATTCCAAAATTTGTGTCATATCTGAATCTGGTTCTGAAGCTTGCTTTGGTTCTTCAGACTATATTTTATCATGCCTTTTATCACACCTTGCAATTTTTTCTTGAAATCTGCATACAATGAATCAGGTAAAAATGACTATAAATAGAGCCTTATTGTGATGATTTATGTTAATCTAGATAAGAGTTGTACTGTATTTAATATTTTTTACAGCCTCAATTTCTTTAGTGTCCTTGTTTTTATTTACCCTCTTAGATTTGTGGCTTCCTTATATACTGATACTCAGAAAGAGTCTGGGTTTTGCAGATATTTCAGTTGTAAGCCACTGTTACAACCAGTTTTTTGAGCCACCATGATGTGGTGGTAGATTTTTGAGGCAGAATGTTCCTTAATTTTCCAGTAAGTTTCAGTCTTTTAGTGGGCCAGTGACTGAGGGCTGTGGCCTTTCCAAAAGTTTCTGTTCCTCCGTAGTGATATAGCTTTTGCCCTCTTCCCCCTGCTCTCTTTCCTAGTTGCATCATTCTAAATTTATTTTCTTGAAGACTTGTTCCCATGTTGACTATGCCTTACCCCTCCCCTACCTTAGGTGAGAAAGAAAGGCTCATAAATATTTTCCCTCATCTGGAATAAGATTTCAGAACTGTACTTTGGAGGGTAGGTTTTTGTTTCCATTACATGAACCTCTCATAATGGCCAGATTAAGCAAGTAGGACAGGGTAGAAAGTGTTGGGGCAGAAGGAGATATTTATATAGCCTGTGATATTCTTAAGATGTCACAATTTCACCATCAATGATGCTATTGTAGTCACCCCCACTAGGCACACGTTATGTATTTCTGCCATTTAATTAAATTAAGAATAATTAAGAGCATGATCAATTCCCCAATAACCTTCAATTTCTTTTCTTTTGTTAATCCTCACTCAAAGATATTTTTCCATTGAGTTTTAGAGAGAGTGGGAGGGAGGGAGAGGCACAGAAAGAGAGAAACATCAATGTGAGAGAAACACATCAATTGGTTGCCTCTGGCATGTGCCCTGAGCTGGGGATCAAGCCTGCAACTGAGGTACGTGCCCTTGACCAGAATCAAGGCTGTAACCCTTCAGTCTTCAGGTTGACACTCCACTAAGCCAATCTGACTAGAGCAACCCTTCAATTTCCTAAGCAAAACATCTAAGTCTCAAGGAAGATAATTTAATTTGTGTCTATTTCAGTCTATTTTGGATCTACACAAGTTGGTAAAAATTAACATTGAGTCTAACAGGTTCTTCTCTAAGATAACCAGGTGGTGTTGCTTGTCATACGGGACATTTTTCGGTTTCATTTTTCTAAAAAAATCAATCTGATAGAGCAGAAATTATTCCTAACCAAGCAGGTTTTATTACTAACTTCTACATGGCTTTGGAGAACCACTTTGTTTATTTATGGGCCTCAGATTTCCTATATAAACAATGAATACATCAGGCGAGAATCATTTCTAAGGGCCTCTATTTCTCCTTCAAATCTTATATGGTTCTTCCAAATTTCTCTCCCTAAGGCTAGCACAGTGCCGGACACCAAGTAAGTACATGAACACAGAAGGAGCAAAATCAGCATTTCTCTCTGAGTGCTGGAATAAAATTTCTAAGGACAAAATAGTCAATAATTTGGTAACTATCCCTATGTTAAAGTTCTTTGATGAGTTTTGAATATGAGATTATTTTTTAAATTTTATTTTATTGCTTAAAGTATTACAAAGAGTATTACCTATGTCTCCTCCCCCACCCTGACCTTCCTTCGGCCTCCCCTACCCCCAGTGTCTTGTGTCCATTGGTTATGCTTATATGCATGCGTACAAGTCCTTCGGTTGATCTCTTACCCCTGCCCCCCACCATCCCCGACCTTCCTGCTGTAGTTTGACAGTCTGTTCGATGCTGCTCTGCCTCTGTATCTATTTTTGTTCATCAGTTTATAATGGTCTTTATTATCCATAAATGAGTGAGATCATGTGGTATTTTTCTTTCATTGACTGGCATATTTCACTTAGCATAATGCTCTCCAGTTCCATCCATGCTGTTGCAAATGGTAAGAATTCCTTCTTTTTTACAGCAGCATAGTATTCCATTGTGTAGATGTACCACAGTTTTCTAATCCATTCATCTGCTGATGGGCACTTAGGCTGTTTCCAAATCTTAGCTATGGTAAATTGTGGTGCTATGAACGTAGGGATGCATACATCCTTTCTGATTGGTGTTTCTAGTTTCTTGGGATATATTCCTAGAAGTGGGGTCACTGGGTCAGATGAGAGTTCCATTTTTAACTTTTTGAGGACACTCCATACTGTTCTCCACAGTGGCTGCACCAGTCTGCATTCCCACCAGCAGTGCACGAGTGTTCCTTTTTCTCCGCATCCTCTCCAGCACTTAAAAGACATGTGTAGATGTCAATATTTAGGCCATACCATTTGGTCTATTCATCTACTTACCTCTCACTGCCCTGTGGTAGCATGGAAGTATAGCATTACCTACCTTCTGCCTAAAACTCTTGTCCGCTGTTCCTGGTGTTCATCATTTATCACTTTGAATTTCTGCCCATATTCTTCCTCTTGGCCTTAATATCTTTTTTAAAATTATTTATTGTTTAAAGTATTACATATGTCTCCTTTTTATCCCATTGACCTCTTCCTGTTTGTTCCCATGGCCACCAGCACATGCCTTCACCCTCTACTGTCTGTGTCCATGGCTTATACTTATATGCATGCATACAAGTCCTTTGGTTGATCTCTCACCCTCCTCCCCCCCTGTCCCCCCCATCTTCCTTCTGAGGTTGGATGGTCTGTTCAATGCTTCTATGTCTCTAGATCTATTTTAGTTCACCAGTTTATGTCATTCATTACATTACACAAATAAGTGTGATCATGTGATATTTACCTTTCTCTGACTGGCTTATTTCATTTACCATAATGCTCTCCAGGTCCATCCACGCTACTGCAAATGGTAAGCATTCCTTCTTTTTTTATAGCAGCATAGTATTTCACCACAGATTTTTAATTCACTCATCTTCTGATGGGCACTTAGGCTGATTCCAAATCTTAGCTATTGTAAATTGTGTTGTTATGAACATAAGGGTGCATGTATCCTTTCTGATTGGTGTTTCTGGTTTCTTGGGATATAGTCCTAAAAGTGGGATCACTGGGTCAAATGGAAGTTCCATTTTTAAATTTTTGAGGAAACTCCATACTGTCTTCCACAGTGGCTGCACCAGTCTGCATTCCCACCAGCAGTGCATGAGGGTTCCTTTTTCATCACATCCTCACCAACACTTGTCGTTTCTCAATTTGTTGATGATAGCCATTCTGACAGGTGTAAGATGGTACCTCATTGTTGTTGTTATTTGCATCTCTCTGATGATTACTGACTTTGACCATGTTTTCATATGTCTCTTGGCCTTCTGTATGTCCTCTTTCTGAAGAGGTCTATTTAGGTCCTTTGTCCATTTTTTTATTGGATTGTTTATCTTCCTTTTGTTAAGTTGTATGAATTCCCTATAAATTTTAGAGATTAAAGTGTTATCAGAGATAACATTGGCAAATATGTTCTCCCATGCAGTGGGCTTTCTTGTTGTTTTGTTGATGGTTTCTCTTGCTGTGCAGAAGCTTTTTATTTTGATGTAGTCCCATTAGTTGATTTTCTCCTTAGTTTCCATTGTCCTAGGAACTGTATCTGTAAAGATATTACTAACTACATATGTCTGATATGCTTATGGATTCTTCTAAGATTTTTATGGTTTCCCATGTTACGTTTAATTCTTTTATCCATTTTGAGTTTATTTTTGTGAATGGTGTAAGTTAGTAGTCTAGTTTCTTTTTTTTTGCATGTATCTGTCCAATTTTTCCTACACCGTTTATTGAAGAGATTGTCTTGATTCCATTGTATGCTCTTGCCTTCTTTGTTAAATATTAATTGAGCATAATGGCTTGTGTCTATTTCTGGGTTCTCCGTTCTGTTCCATTGGTATATATGTCTGTTATTGTGCCAGTACCAGGAAGTTTTAGAACAGTGGCTTTATAGTATAGCTTAATATCTGGTAATGTGATCCTTCCAATTTTCTTCTTTCTCAGGTTTGCTGAGGTCTTTTATTTTTTATTATTCCATATGAATTTTTGGAGAGTTTGTTCTAGGTCTGTGAAATATGCTGTTGGTATTTTAATGGTGATTTTATTGATTCTATAGATTGCTTTGGGTAGTATGGATATTTTAGTGATGTTGATTCTACCAATCCATGAACATGGTATATTATTCCATTTGCTTATATCATCTTCCTCTATCTCTTTTTTCAATGTCCTGTAGATTTCTGAGTACAGGTCTTTTACCTCCTTAGTTAAGTTTATTCCTAGGTATTTTAATTTTTTGTTGCAATGGTAAATGGGATAGTTTTTTTTTTGTTTGTTTCTCTTTATGTGCGTTCATTGTTGATGTATAAAAAAGTCATAGATTTCTGGGTGTTAATTTTTTTTTTCTATCTCAGAAGCCAGATCTGTATTAAGTTTTTTCAACAGAAATTCAGGTTCGGTCTGGGTGTTAACTTTATATCCTGCTACATTGCCAAATTCATTTATTAAGTCTAGTAGTTTTTTGGTGGAGTCTTTAGGGTTTTCTATGTACAAGATCATGTCAACTGCAAATGGTGACAGTTTTACTTTTTCTTTTCCAATTTGGATGCCTTTTATTTCTTCTTGTCTGATGGTTATGGCTAGCACTTCCAGGTCTATATCAAACAGGAGTGGTGAAAGTGGGCATCCATGTCTTGTTCCTGTTCTTAGGGGAAATGGATTTAGCTTTTGCCCATTGAGTATGATGTTGGATGTAGGTTTGTCATATAAGGTTGTTACTATGTTGAGGTATGAGTCCTCTATCCCCACTTTGCTGAGAGATTTTATCAAGAGAGGGTGTCGGATTTTGTCAAATGCTTTTTCTGAATCTATTGACATGATTATGTGATTTTTATCTCTCAATTTGTTTATGTGATGTATCATGTTTTTTATTTTATTTATTTATTTATTTATTTATTTATTTATTTATTTATTTTTGATGTATCATGTTTTTTTGATTTGCGGATATTGTACCATCCTTGCATCCCTGGAATAAACCCACTTGGTCATGGTGTATGATCTTTCTTATGTAATGGTGGATCCAATTTGCTAGAATTTTGTTGAGGATTTTAGCATTTATGCTCATCAGGGATATTGGCCTGTAACTTGCTTTGTAGTGTCTTTAACTGGTTTTGGGATTAGGGTAATGTTGGCTTCATAGACAGAGCTTGGAAGTCCTCCTTCACTTGAATATTTTGGAATTGTATGACGACGATAGATTTTAGTTCTTCTTTGAATGTTTGGTACAACTCCCCTGTGAAGCCATCTGGTCCAAGGCTTTTGTTTGGTGGGAGTTTTTTTGGTTACTGCTTTAGTTTCATCAGTAGTTATTGGCCTATTCAGGTTTTTTTATTCTTTTTGATTGAATTTTTGAAGCTTATATTTTTCTAAGAATATGTCCATTTTGTCCAGTTTGTTTGAGTAGAGTTGTTCATAGTGGGGTTTTTTTTTTACAATAATTTATATGTCTGTGGGGTCAGTTGTTACTTCACCTCTTTCATTTCTGATTTTGTTTATTTGGGTTCTTTCTCATCATTTCTTGGTGGGCCTGGCTAGAGGTTCATCAATCTTTTTTATTTTATTTATTTTTATTGATTAAGTTATTACATATGTGTCCTTATCCCCATGTTACCCCCTATCACCTCCACTCATGCCCTCACCCCCTGTTGTCTGTGTCCATTTGTTAGGCATATATGCTTGCATATAAGTCCTTTGGTTGTTCTCTCCCCCTTACCCCTCCCCTCCCCTACCTTCCCTCTGAGGTTTGACGGTCTGATCGATGCTTCTCTGTCTCTGGATCTGTTTTTGTTCATCAGTTTATGTTGTTCATTATATTCCACAAATGAGTGAGATCATGTGGTATTTATCTTTCTCTGTTTGGCTTATTTCGCTTAGCATAATGCTCTCCAGTTCCATCCATACTGTGGCAAATGGTAAGAATTCCTTCTTTTTTACTGCAGCGTAGTATTCCATCGTGTAGATGTACCACAGTTTTCTAATCCACTCATCTGCTGATGGGCACTTAGGCTGTTTCCAAATCTTAGCTATGGTGAATTGTGCTGCTATGAACATAGGGGTGCATATATCCTTTCTAATTGGTGTTTCTAGTTTCTTGGGATATATTCCTAGAAGTGGGATCACTGGGTCAAATGGGAGTTCCATTTTTAGTTTTTTGAGGAAACTCTATACTGTTCTCCACAGTGGCTGCACCAGTCTGCATTCCCACCAGCAGTGCATGAGAGTTCCTTTTTCTCCACATCCTCGCCAGCATTGGTCGTTTGTTAATCTTGTTTATCTTTACAAAGAATGGCTCTTGTTTTTATTGATCTTTTGTATTGGTTTTTGTTTGTTTGTTTTTTTGTGTGTTTTTTGTCTCTAAGTCAGTGATGGTGAACCTTTTGAGCTCGGCGTGTCAGCATTTTGAAAAACCCTAACTTAACTCTGGTGCTGTGTCACATATAGAAATTTTTTTATATTTGCAACCATAGTAAAACAAAGATTTATATTTTTGATATTTATTTTATATATTTAAATGCCATTTAACAAAGAAAAATTAACCAAAAAAATGAGTTCGCGTGTCACCTCTGACACGCGTGTCATAGGTGCGCCATCACTGCTCTAAGTTGTTTATTTCCATTCTGATATTTGTTATTTCCTTCCTTCTGCTTACTCTGGGCTTTTCTTTTTGCTTTCTTTTTAATTATTTAAGTTGCAGGGTTAGAGAATTAATTACCATTTTTTCTTTTCCTTTTTTTTATCTTTGATCCTCATTTTTTTTTTAGATTTTTTAAAGATTTTTTCCCTTTATTGATTAAGGTATTACAAATGTGTCCTTATCCTCCCATTGTCTCCCCATCCCCCCACTCACTCTGAGGACTGCTGTCACTGTGTCCCATAGATTTTGGATTGTTTTGTTTTCATTGTCAGTTATTTCCAGGATGCTTTTCATTTCTTCTTTGATCTCTTCGGTATCCCAATCATTGTTTAATAGCATGCTATTTAGTCTCCAATTCCTTGATTTTTTCTTTGTTATTATTGTAGTTGATTTCTAATTTTATGCCATTGTGATTTGAGAAGATGCTTGATATGATTTCTATCTTCTTGAATTTGAAGATGCTTTGCCTGTGTCCCAATATGTGATCTATCTTTGAAAATGTCCTCGTGTGCACTTGAGAAGAATATATAATCTGTTGCTTTGGGAAGAAATGTTCTGAAGATGTCAATTAATTCCATCTGATCTAATGAGTCATTTAGGATTGATGTTTCTTTGCTGATTTTTTTGTTTAGAGGATTTATACAGTGGTGTCAATGGGGTATTAAGGTCCCTTGCTATGGTTGTATTGCTGCTGATCTCTCCCTTGGTATCTTCCCAAAGTGTTTTCTTTGTTGTCATTGTTTTGTTTTGTTTTCTATGTATTTAGGTGCTCCTGTATTGGGTGCGTATATGTTTACCAGAGTTATATCCTCTTGTTGAATTGCTCCCTTTAGTATTATGAAGTGGCCCTCCTTATCTCATGTTATGACCTTTACTATAGGGTCTATTTTGTCCCATCCCTATCAGTCTGTGTGAGTCCTTTGTTCTGAGGTTTGTCTCTTGTAGACAGAAGATATATGGATGATATTTTCTTATCCATTCAGGTACCCTATGTGTTTTGATTAGAGCATTAATCCACTTACATTTAAGGTTATTATGGATAGGTACTTGTTTGTAGCCATTTTTATTCTTTATGCCCGTGTTCCTTCTTCACTTTCTACTCCTTCTTTTTACAGCAGTCCCTTTAGCATTTGTCACATTTCTGGCTTGATGGTAATAAATTCCCTTAGCCTTTTTTGTCTGTGAAGCTCCTGATTTCACCTTCAATTTTGAATGATAGCTTTGCTGGATATAGATAGTATTCTTGGGTTCATTCCTTTGCTTTGCATCACTTTGTATATTTCATTCCATTCCCTTCTGACCTGATGTGTTTTTGTTGAGAAATCAATTGATAGTCTAATGGGAGATCCCTTATAGGTAACTTTATGTTTCTCTCTGGCAGCTTTTATGATTCTTACTTTATTGTTGATGTTTGCCAATTTAATTATGATGTGTCTTGGTGTTGTCAGTCTTTTTGGATTCATCTTGATTGGGACTCTGTGTGCTTCTTGGACTTGTGTGACTTTTTTCTTCCCCAAATCAGGGAAGTTTTCTGTCATTATTTCTTTAAACAGGTTTTCTATTCCTTACTCAGCTTCCTGTCCTTCTGGCACCTCTATTATGCAGATGTTGTTTCATTTCGTGTTGTCCCAAAGCTCCCTTAGGCTCTCCTGCTTTTTAAGTTTTTTTTCCAGTTGCTGCTCTGCTTGGGTGTTTTTCCTACCTTGTCATTTAACTCACTGATGCTGTCCTCAGCTCCTTCTACTCTACTGTTGAAGGTTTCCATTACATTTTTTTTAATTTCCGCTATGTCATTCTTCATCTTCTCTTGACTCCTTTTCATGTTGCTGCAATTCTAATTCAGCTCCTTATAATTCTCATTGAGCTGTGTGTATTTGTCACTCAGACATTTGAACATCCTTATAACCATTACTCTGAATTCTTTCTGTGACATATTACTTTCCTCCATTTCATTTAATTTCCATTCTGATGATTTCTCATTTTCTTTCCTTTGGGGATTATTTCTTTGTCTCCCCATTTTTGCTATAACATTTTAATTGTTTCTATGTCTTAGATCCAACTACTTTGCTACCCAGGTTCTTTTGGGGTGGTACTGTGTAGTTGGTGATTTTTGGTTCCCAATGGTGCAGTGTATCAGATCTCCTGAGCTTGCTGTGTTAGTGGAGCTCCCTACTTGAGCTATTGGGGTTCTCCTGATGTTTGGGTCTTGAATGTTAGTTTCTCATTTGTGGCTGAACACTCATCAAGGGTTGTCTGACAATGTGACTCACTCCTGGACTCATTGTGCAAGCTGTTCTGAATATGCTCGTGGTTCTGGCTCTTGTGGAAAGGATTGCCTGAGGTCTCACTGGCATGCACTCATTGTGAGATTCTGGAGCCCACGACCTGGGAGGAAGGGGTTTAGGGGCCTGAGGCTCAGGTAGTGAGACTCTGGCCAGTGTTGTCTGACTCTTGCTGGGGTAGCATCTCTCTGCAAATCACTGCAAAGTCCTGTAGCCTGTGATGGTGGGACACAGCTGCCTGTAGTCTGAGGATGAGGCAGTGGGACTCTGGCCAGGGTGATTTCACTCTGCAAATAACCAGGAGGTCCAGAAGCCAGTGGCTGGGGATGCGGGAATCTCAGAGTCTGTGGCTGAAACAGTGACCTTGTCCGGGTAGGCAAGCCCTCAGTAGCTCACCAAGGTGCCCAGAAACCTGCAGCCCAGGAAGGGGAAGTTGTGGATTCTGCTAAGGGAGCCATACACCCTTGGTTGGAAAGGTGTGTTCCCAGCAGCAGCTCA